GCTGACCTTTAAAGCCCTAAATGACCTTGGTCCAGTATATCTGAAGGAGCATCTCCACCCCCATCATTCTACCCGTACACTGAGGTCTAGCGCTGAGGGCCTTCTGGCGGTTCCCTCACTGAGAGAAGCCAAGTTACAGGGAACCAAGCAAAGGGCCTTCTTGGTAGTGGCACCCGCCCTGTGGAGCACCCTCCCACCAGATGTCAAAGAGAACAACAACTAACAGACTTTTAGAAGACATCTGAAGGCAGCCCTGTTTTGGGAAGCTTTTAATGTTTGATGCATTACTGTATTTTAATATTTTGTTGGAAGCCGCCCAGAGTGGCTGAGGAAGCCCAGCCAGATGGGTGGAGTATAAATAATTTACTATTATTATTATTATTATTATTATTATTTGCTATATCTTATCTGCACAATCCACAAATCTCAGGAACCAAAAACTTTTACTGAAAAATATTACTTTTGAGCCATCTGGCCCCAAAACGGCAAGTAGGCATTCCATTTTGGCGACTGTAGCCCTGGTTTAAGTAGCCATTTGGTGCCTAGCTTATATATATCTGAGTTTTTAACACTGGAATGTTCAGAGGGGCACAATCAAGGCTGGGGTCCAAGGCCCCACAAGCCTCTCACACAGAGAGACCCCTTTGGCTGCCCAGGGCTGGTGAATGCGTATCTAACGTAGTAACATCAATGAAGCAGAAAGGCTGAATTCTTAAGACTTTAAAAGTTCAACTGCTGTCAGTCTGCAAGACTAATAAGCAGCATCTGGTTTCCCTCTAGAACAAAAACTAAGAGCACAAGCAGCTTTCCACAAAGGTGATGCTAAGCAGAGTTCTACAACTTGGCACACATCACAGAAAAGCTGGAACAATACAGCACGGGTAGGCAAACTAGGGCCTGGATCCGGATTCGGCCCAATCGCCTTCTAAATCCGGCCCGCGGATGGTCTGGGAATCAGCGTGTTTTTACATGAGTAGAATGTGTGCTTTTATTTAAATGCATCTCTGGGTTATTTGTGGGGCATAGGAATTCGTTCTTTTTTTTTAATCAAATATAGTCCGGCCCTCTAAGGGACAGTGGACCGGCCCCCTGCTGAAAGTTTGCTGGCCCCTGCAATACAGTAAGACTCCAATAATGAACTTTAACATCAGCCTTCCCCAACCCAGTTCTTGTTGTATGTTGTTGTTATGCCCCACATTTCCCCCGTAGGTTCCCTCCAGATTTTTGAGACTACAACTCCCATCAGCCTCAGCCAGCAGTTATAGTTCAAAGATGGTGAGGCTGCTTTATATTTTTGATCCAATAAAGGTTGCATTTGGGCAATGCAATCCCTACTCAGAAGTAAGTCCTACAAAATTCAGGGGTTCTATGATTCTATGTTGGCCGCAGAAGAGAAAAGCCCTAATCTCTCCTGGCAAGCATGTAAAGGCTAGCCTCTTAGGTTGTTAAAAAACCAAACCAAACCCTGATTTCTACCAAGCAAGGTGGTAGATAACCCTGTCTTCCAAGTCCCATTTTATCTTAAGAACTATGTACTTTCCCCTCAAACAAGCCTGCCAGAGCTTTAAGATTAGCCTCAGAGACCCAGGTACTCCAAAAATGTTTTTATGTCAGCAAGCATCTACTGTTCAACTATTTGCTGCTGTAAATATAGGATAATGCTATCTTTATTGCTGTTGTTTTTGTATTGGAAGTACTGTTGCTTTGTTTCATTTTATTGTTTATAAACATGTCTTTATAGGGCAAGTTACACCTAAGACTACCAAGTCAATAAAAAAAAAAAAAACTCAGCCAGCCAACTAAATTCTCCCAGAGGCAACTGCAGGTCTGTGACCAAAGTCTTTGAAGTACCTAGCAACACCCTTGCCTCCAGGTGATCATCAGACAGGCAAGTTTTTCCTTTGTTAGGATCTTTTTCCTCTATGCAGTCGATTTATGCCACAAATACATCTGGGACAGGTAGTAAGATGTTTGTGCAGTAGTCATTTCTCCACACTTATCTGCAAGGCTGGTCATAGTAGAGCCAAGATCTGTGCGCATGAAGTTAAGGGAAGTTTTCAATTCCTCTGGCTAAGAAACTATATTCTGCTTGCAAGTTTCCCATAGGAATCTGGCAGGCCAATGTGAAAACTGGATGCTAGAGTAGACGTGCCACTGGTCTGATCCAGTAGGACTCTTCCTAAGCTCTTATGAACACCTGAGACAAATTAAGTCCCCTCCCTCTTCCCTTTCACTTGCTCAAGTGACAGAATACAGGATTTGCAAGAAGGGGGATACCAAGCATTAAGCAGATCAAGGAAGCATAGACGAAGGAGCTATATCCACAGCTATAAACACAGATAAATATGAATCACAGCCCTTTAGATGTTTGCATTTACCCTAATCGCTGGAAGGAACACCAATTCATTGGGTCTGGAATGCAAGCAGACACACTGTGTACATCAGGCAACCGGCAAGAGCCACAACCTGCACAGCAGGTGCGTTAAACAAACACTGACATCACTCACTTAAAATGTTCAGTCACCATCTCATTGCCGCTAATACACAGCAGGTAAATTGTGCTTTTCTTCACTTCTTCTCAACGCAATGGGAAATTATGCTGTGTTCGCACTACATTTATTAAGTATACTCTCCATATATGTTTATTCAATATACCAAAAGAAACCTTTCATTTTTCCACCTGAGGCTTTTTGCAATGCAGAGTATTTAGGCTTGTGCCACCAAGTCATACAAGCAGCTCTGGGTCAGTGGTACAGAGCTGGCTCACCTCAGGAGCAAGGCAAGGTTAATCGGGCTGACTGGAAAGAGGATTGCCTTAGTGCATATTATCTTTAGGCTCAAGATGGACACGTTGCACAGAGACAGCTGGCAAATTCAAATCTGTAACACTCAAGTAATGGGGGTGGGGGAACAACCCAAATAAAAGTGTGGGAAGTTGGGGGAGTGGGAGAGGCCAGAAGTGAGAAAGGATGGCACTAGTGGAATTCACGCTGCTCTGGAAAGGTGTGGTCACACTCCCCTTGAAGAATCACAGAAGCAGGTGTACAGCTTGGGGAGACTTCTGTATCCAACACCATTAGTGGAGGCACAAGCGAGTTCAGTGGCACAGAATGCCTTCTAGCAACTCTGACCAATAGCACAGTTGCAACCCTACCAGGACAGGGATAACCTGGTTTCAGTTGTCTACGCTCTGATTACCTCCTGGTTAGACTACTGCAATGCACTGTATGTGGGGCTGCCTTTGAAGACAGGTCAGAAACTACAGCTAGTGCAGGGCTACTTAGCAGAGGTAAATTGTTAACCAAAACATAAAGGTGGAAACATGCAACACTGGTTCTGACCCAACTGTGTTGGCTGCCAATTTGTTTCTGGGACCAATTGCTGGTTTTGACCTTTAAAGCCTTATACAATTCGGGACCACTATATCTAAAAGACCACCTTTCCCCATATGAACCTGCCAGGACCCAGAAGCTATTATCTGAAGCTCTTCTCTACATGACACCTCCACAACTGGAGGGTGATAAGAAAATGGGCCTTCTCTGAAGTAGGCCCTGATTATGAAAGTAGCCTCTGTTTAAGAAGGCCCACTGTTTAAGAAGGCCTGTGACAAATACATTTTTGTTTTCAAGGTCATTTGGACATCATCGGGACATTTGATATAATCATTATTACTATACTGTATTGCACTATAATAATATATTGTATGGTTAAATTTATTTACAGTAATGTTTATGTGAGTTTACTATAGCGTTTTTACTTTAGTTGCAAATCACTTTGTGGCCTTTTTGGTGGAAAGGAATGCATAAAAAATTAAGAAACCTAACCTAGCAAGGAAAAATGGTTCCATATGTTTATGGGGGGAAATTTAGCTACTTTTTGCATTCAGGATCGCCTGCCACATAGCATGTGGCTTCTGAAAACCATACTAATAGTTTTCTGGAAGGGGACTTCAAAAGAGAATTTCCTCCTCTCTCCCCGCCCCTACTTACTGGCTTGAATCCTCCAGATCTAGTGGTTTTGCCTTCTTTGTTTCTATCGACGCTTTCTAAGCATTTCCTTGGTGGGCGTAAAATGGTTTCAGACCGAGCCCTTCCATCTGACAACCAGACAATTTGAAATATGCTCCGTATATTTTAACAGTGAAAAACGAATAAAAAGAAAAGAGCAGGCCTGGGGAGATTTGGGGAGGGGCTGCAGATTGGGATGATGGACATTAACAAATACAAGGTATAGGGATGGGGGTTGCAGCAGCTGCTGTTGCCGCCCCACGGACGAGAAAAGCAGGAAAGAGCGCCACGCCTCCCGTTTCCAGCTCCGGCGCTGCAAAGACCGTGTCCGGCGCGAGCTGCGGCCCTTCCACTCCCCGTTAGCGGCAGCGACACCGACGTGCAGCCCCGGGGTCGTCCCGCTCGCTTCGCCCACCCGCAAGCACTTGAGAGGGCGACTCCGGGCGCGGCTGCAAAGGGGCGCCGAAAGCCCCCCCCCCCCGTTAACCGAGCGCATCTGGCCCAGCGCCACTTAAGGTCTCCCCGCCGGGAACCCTCCCAACCTTTGCGTGGGGAGGCGTGCGTGCATGGATAGGCAAACTAAGGCCCGGGGGCCGGATTCGGCCCAGTCGCCTTCTCAATCGGGCCCACGGAAGGTCTGGGAATCAGCGTGTTTTTACATGAGTAGAACGTGTCCTTTTATTTAAAATGCATCTCTGGGTTTATTTGTGGGGCATAGGAATGCATTATTTTTTTCAAAATCTAGTCCGGCCCCCCACAAGGTCTGAGGGTCAGTAGACCGGCCCCCTGCTGAAAAAGTTTGCTGACCTCTGGCTTAGAGGGAGATGTGGCCCACTGGAAAGGGCTCCCCTCAGCACTTTTTGGGCCTCGTGCATGGGGACGGGCGCCGCGCTGAGGAAAAGCTGGGCTCCCACCTTTCCCCGCTGGCGCAAGCGCGCCCCTCACTTGTCCCCCCCTCCATGCAAAATGCAAGGGGGCCGCTCCCCGACGTACCCCTCGCTCGCTTACCTCCCCAGGCAGGAGAGCTTCGCAGCAGCAGCAGCAGCAGCGTCGTGCCCGCTCAGCGACTCCGCTCGCCTCCGCCCCGCGGCACCACGAGGTGCGCGAGCTTGTTTACCAACTCGCGTTTCTCTCCCCCCCCCCCCTTCCCGCACCGCCCCGTCGGCTGGAGACCCCGCGGCCAGGCTCCGCCCCTGGCGCGCCTATTGGCTCTGCCGAAACCACCGCCCTCCCCTGCCCGGGGATTAGCGCGAGAGCCGAGGTTGCCAAGCCGCCGGGAGCGTGTTCGGCTCGTGAGGCCCGCGCTCTGGCCAATGGGAAGCCGGGGCGGACGGAGCTTCCGCCAATCCCGAGGCGGCGTGTCGTCTCGTCCGTTCCCTCCCGCCGCTTCTCGCACATCCCGTCCTTGTTGCGCTGCTCGCTCGATGCGGTGGCGGGAGGGCTGGGCATGGACGCGGAGAGGAGGAGGAGGGTCGGTGCATGTGCAGCGGGGCACGTTGCTGTTGCCGCCGTGCGCGGCTTCCCTCTCCCCCGGGGTTGTGCTGCGTCGTCCCCGCCCTCGGACAAAGCTGGGGTTCCCGGACTCCCTGTCTAACAAAGGCCGCCTTCCCAAAAGCTCCTGTCTGCCACCCTGAAGTTACGTGTCTCCCTGCACGTATCTGCACAGGGCATTTTAGTGCAGTGCTTGTTGGTACAGGGAAGGGGGGAGACGCTTGGAAGTTTCCTGTGTTAATAGGGTTAACTGCAGGGCGGATAATTTGCAAGAGAAATGGTGTGACGCGAAAAGGCAAAGATAAAAGGTTGCTGGGTTTTAAATCTCTTTTTTTAGGATACTCCTTTTGTTACTTCAAAAAGGGTTAAAATGTATGTTGCAACTAATCGCTTAAAAGTATACAAAGTGACTTGGCAGTCCCTTCGTTTTCATTTCGCAGAGAACCGTAAACAAATAGCCACACAGAAAGAAGCAAATATCAGTTTCCCTGCTTGACATCCAGCGTGCTGGCCACCAAAGTATGCAGCCCCTGACCTAGAATTCCCAGTTCTCTGCCGCACTTGCCAATTATTTACTCTTAGCAGAGCAGACAGTCAATAAAATAAGGCTGCAGTCCTGACCCTACTTACCTGGGAGCAAGACCCACTGAATTCAGTGGGACTTACCTCTGAGTAAACATGAAATCAAGATTGCATTCGTGCGTTTGGGTCTCTACTATTGGGGCTATCAAACACCCTGCTTCTGAATTCATGTTTAAAACAGAAAGCATGTTGACAATTCAGATTGCAACAGCTAAATAAAAGTGGACACTTTAATTGTTACATTTGTATCTCAGTCTTATTCTCAAAGGGATGTTTTGATCATTGGCCTTCTTCTCTCTTCTCTGAAATAAAACAGTCTTGTGGCACCTTAAATAATTGTATAATAGCATATGCTTTTGTGGAACAGAATCCACTTCATTAGATGCTTGAAGTGTAATCCTTAGCTGCACACACACACACACACACACACACACACAGGTGTAGGCAGGTTGGAGTAGAATTGTAAGCTGCCCAGAGTGGCTGGGTTAACCCAGTCAGATGGGCAGTTAGCTAGCTAAATAAATTAGAAAAGATAAAATAAAATAAAAAGACTAATCAGCGAACACTGTAAGGAACTACTAACTTTCCTTTTGGTTGCTGCCAGGCTTAAAATGGCGTGATGTTGGTGAATACTTGAAAGACTCTCAGCTGATGCACAGTATAGTGATGTTTGGACCATTGCCTAGGCAAACTCAGCCCTCCAGATGTTTTGGGACTACAACTCCCATCATTCCTAGCTAACAGGACCAGTTCTCAGCGATGATGGGAGTTGTAGTCCCGAAACATCTGGAGGGCTGAGTTGGCCTATGCCAGGCGCATTAGCAGATAAATTGATATGCCCAGTCAAAGTAGCTAAAATGACTGCAGACCCCAACTCTTTTTGTGCAGGTTGGCATACAGTGGTACCTTGGTTACAGATAGGTAGCCGTGTTGGTCTGCCATAGTCAAAACAAAAAAAATTCCTTCCAGTAGCACCTTAAAGACCAACTAAGTTAGTTCTTGGTATGAGCTTTCGTGTGCATGCACACTTCTTCAGATACACACCAAGTGGTACCTTGGGTTACAGACACTTCACGTTACAGACGCTTCAGGTTACAGACTCTGCTAACCCAGAAATAGTACCTCGGGTTAAGAACTTTGCTTCAGGATGAGAACAGAAATCGCGCAGCAGCGGTGCGGTGGCAGCAAGAGGCCCCATTACCTAAAGTGGTGCTTCAGGTTAAGAGCAGTTTCAGGTTAAGAATGGACCTCCAGAACAAATTAAGTTCTTAACCTGAGGTACCACTGTATTCTCATTTTCCACATGAGAAGAGACAACCAAGTGAGAAAACTGCCACAAACACATGGCAAGCTGTGGAGCAATATGCTAGAAATATAAGAAGTTGGACAATGTATTTGTGTATTTGCTCTTTTATTATAGAATACGTGTAAACACAAGGAATTTGCTTATGATCTCAGAGCAGTTGTGTCTTCTGCCTACAGTTATATCGGTTTGTATTCCTTTCTGATTGAATATAAATATATATCCAAGAAGCCATTATATCTCAAACTGTTTGTATTTAATAACATTCAAAGATTTACATTTTTGCAGTACAATGCTATACATGTCTACTCATAAGGAAGCCCCTTTGAACTCAGCAGGGCTTACACCGAAGTAAGTTGGTTTAGGATTGCAGCCTAGAAATAACAACAAACCATAGAGAGTTGTCATGCACCTCTGTCAATCTTTCTGTGTATGTGTGATATGCATGTGTTAAGTGGAATATTTGTAGAGCAATAGGTTAGATATACCCTAAAGAACTTTCATTCAGAAAGATCAACTTTAAATACCAAGTTTCCCCATCTGTCTCTGTGTCCACAGAGCTGCATGTCAGGGTTTTTGAAGTTAATTTCCAGTATTTTATATAGCTGAATGGTTTTCTTTTCTCCCAGCTGGAATCAATATTATTCAGACATCTTGTTTTAAGTGGATATTTTTCTTAACCTTTTGGTGTGTTGAATTTGGACTTTAGCTTTGTATTTTCTTTGTTCATAAGATCATTTACCCTGACGGCTGAGTTTCAACAGCTGGATCTTCATTTGTACAGCATCAGGCTTGAGACTACTTGCACAAAGAGTAGTCCCACATATCTTTGGGGAATATATTATCCAATATTATTTGAGGATTGCAGATTTAATTGGTCCATTTCACGTACTAAAGCCTTGGTTCGTTTTTCCATAAAGTTATTGTTTTACATATGTCATACTTGAACAGTCAAGCTTGGTATGAACTTGTTACCAGAAATAATTCCCAGCAGGTCCCAAGCAAATCAAGGAAATAGTTTCTGAGATGGAACATTACTGATATTCATGATAATAATAAAAAAGCTTTTCTCCGTCTCTCATGACACCAGAACTCATGGACATCCAAGGAAGCTGGAAGATTCAGGACAGAGAAAACAATAATTTATTTACACAGTGCATAGTTAAACTATGGAACTTGCTGTCATAGGAGGCAGCGATGATCACCAACTTGGGTAGCTTTGAAAGAGGATTAGACCAATTAATGGAGAAGGCTGTCAAAGGGCCCTATCCATACCTTGGCTTAATGTGGATAATGAACCCTTTGTATATACTTTAATTCCCCCTCATCCATGAGGCCCCCCTCCTCCAACTACTGCTGTCCCTAAATCCAATAATTCCCAATTTAATAACTCTGGGCAGCTCCCAATCAAATGTTTAAAAAAGTACAACATTAAATATTAAAAACTTCCGTAAACAGGGCTGCCTTCAGATGTCTTTTTAAAAGAGGATAGCTGCTTACTTCCTTGACTTCTGAAGGGAGGGTGTTCCACAGGGTGGGTGCCACTACCGAGAAGGCCCTCTGTCTGGCTCCCTGCAACCTCACTTCTCGCAATGAGGGAGCCGCCAGAAGACCCTTGGCGCTGGATCTCAGTGTCTGGGCTGAACGATGGGCATGGAGACGCTCCTTCAGGTATTCAATTGATGCAGCTCTCCTATCTGGATTTTCATACCATTTATTTGCTTACTTGCTTGCTTTTTTTCACAAAGGTGAACTAAAAGTGACTTCAACCAGCACCAGGTGCCTGCCTTCTCCCAAAGAACCAGCCCAGGGGGTGGCACTGGCTGTGAGCGTCTTCTTTGTCTCAGCGTAACCACTTGCAGACCTCAACAGGAAGGAGGATGGAGATGAAACTAGGATTTATTGCAGGGATAGGCAACCTAAGGCCCGGGGGCCGGATCCGGCCCAATCGCCTTCTCAATCCGGCCCATGGATGGTCTGGGAATCAGCGTGTTTTTACATGGGTAGAATGTGTGCTTTTATTTAAAACGCATCTCTGGGTTATTTGTGGGGCACAGGAATCCGTTCATATTCTTTTTCGAAATATAGTCCGGCCCCCCACAAGGTCTGAAGGACAGTGGACCGGCCCATGGCTGAAAAAGGTTGCTGACCCCTGATTTATTGTCTTTGCCAATTATGGGCTTTGGCTCTACCTACAGCTGGCCTCCTGGTCTTCTGCCCTACCAGTGTCAATAGGCACCAGCCATCATTGATGTGTTGCATGTGAATGCATTCTCCTTCCAAACTGGATGCACCCATGCATTTGCAATATTCCTGGCACCTGATGATTTACCCCAGGATAATACAAACTGAATGACACGAGAGAGACCACAAGTGAGACTAGATGAAGGCGGCAACAAGCCGCAGCAAGTCTGGGGCAGAAACACATCTCCTGCTGACAAAGGAAGCAAACAAGGAGGTTCCACATACTTAGCATTTTGCAACACAGTCTGTTGAAATGTGTGCCATCAACATTTGTTGTCCTATAATGTTACACTCATTGTTGATTGAGGGTTTGGTGTTTTTTGTTTAAAGGCAGGGCTAGGGGGGTTGGAACTGGATTTTCTGGAGTGAAATAAGAGTCTTTTTGTAAGTGCTTTATTTAAATCCATTAAAAAGAACACAACAGCAAGATGTTGGAGTCAACCAATATATCTGGATAGCTCAGTTGGTTAGAGTGTGGTGCTGATGATGCCAAGGTTGCAGGTTCGATCCTGCAAG